AATTTTTAATATAACTCCGACTGGATTTGTCTGAAAGAAGAAAGTCATATACACCTAGGATGCATCGGGGGTGAGTAAAACACAGCCTAATTTTTATTTTTGGGTGAACTAACCCTTTAATACCATTTTAAATAGTTTTTACATTAGAATGTGTCCTGTTTAATTTTTATTTTTCAGAGCAAAAAATAATGACTATCATACATTCTTACCTCGATTTGCTGAAGACACCCACTAAAATGTCATTCAGTGTAACAATAGTTCATATAAACTAATAAAATACTAATTAATTGTAATTGTAACTTTACCAGTCTTTGCAACTATCATTATATTTTACCACTAGGTTTTATCCATTTGTCAGCAAGATATTTTTAATCATTTAAAATATAATAACATTAAGTATTAGTCTTTTTCTTATATATATATATATATATATATTAATAAGTACAGGTCAGAATAAGTATATTGTTTCATTTTTACATAAATAAATCTGTTACTCTGAATGATGATGGAACATTATTTCACGCATATTTAGATTTTTTTTTTCCACAAAAGTTATTTGTTATTTGCAAAGTTATTTGCAAAAGTTATAAACATGAAAGTAGACACTTTACTTGCATTTAATATGCTTTCTATGTATATAAAATACTTTTGTAAATTTAATTTTATGCGAACATCAAAATGGGACGTCTCATCTTTGACCCGCATACAACTCTATAAAAGAATCTTTAAATGCGCTTGTGATAAAATTGTGGCTCCATCTCTTAAAATACGTCCTTCAAAGTTTGTCCTGATAAAAATCGTTGTCTCATGACAAAACTTGACTTTTGTACATGACGACCTTTCTAAAATATTAGAGCTGCAGCAGTAAAATATTATCACTGCTAAACGAACGCCAGTTAACGTTCATATTATAAAGATCACAGCAATAATCATATAATGATAGATTTGAAAAATGATCCCTGATGGAGCAATGCAGCACATTACTGATGTGGCATGGGCTGTTTGGACAGAGTCATGTTGACTTGAACTCTTTGTTGAGTGTATGAACGTGTGTCGTCTGTTCCTCTCAGTTCAGTATTAAATCAGAGATGAACTCTACTTCTGTCGCTCTTTCTCACCCGTATCCCGTGAATGTGTGTTTAACTCTTAGCTTCCCTTCTCTCTCTCCCGCCTGCAGTTTGCCTCCTCAGGGCTGTTCACTGTGTGGCTCTTGTGGTTTCTGATCTAGTGGCCTTTCTCAGCTTCCATACAGACCCCTTCTCCCCTATGATAACTCCCTCCTGCCTTAGAGGTGAGCTCGGGTTCACCGTCCAACCCGTATCCATGGTCACGAGGTCACGAGGTCATCGTTCATGTCATCGTGCTGTGGCTCTTCAGGGCATTTTCACACTAGAACAAACATTAAGACGATTAGAACCATTCTGGGGTCTTCTCATGAATGCTTTTGTGAAAAGAGACCAGCAGTATGTTGTTTTAGTATTATTTATATAGTTTTATAGTATTTATTAATATTTTAAATGAGCTTTTACTTTTTTTTTTTTTCAATTTTCAATTTTAGTTTAGGTTTTTTTATGTGCTTATGTCACTTTTATTAGCTTTTTAAAAAATATTTCTATTTAGCTTTAATTTATTTTTATTCTAGATTAAGTTTTGGTAATATTTTTGGTGTATTCTGAATGATAATGTGAAAAGAACAGTATTATTTTAGTCTTTTTTTATATACTTTTTTTTTTTTTACTATTTATTAATATTTTTGAATTTGCTTTTATTTTTATACTTTCAATTTAAGTTTTAGTTTAGGTTTCAGTAAATTCAGTAATTTTTTTCTTAGTTCTATATATATATAACTGGTAAAAAACACATACTGGTAAAAAATGTATAGCCTGAATGCACTGTAAGTCGCTTTGGATAAAAGCGTCTGCTAAATGCATATATATATATATATATATATATATATATATAAAATTTAATTTAATTTATGCATTTAGCAGCATGAAATTTTTTACATATATATTTTTATTTGATTTTATTAGTGTAATCCCCCCCCCCAAAAAAAAAATTTCTGTTTAGCATCCCCCCCCCCCAAAAAAATATTTCTGTTTAGCTTTATTTTTATTCCAGTTTTAGTTATGTTTTTGGGGTCTTCTCTTGAATGTGAAAATAGGCTGATGTTGAGAAGGAAACACTATTATTTTAGTATTTATTTTATTTTATTTTTTATTATTATTATTATTTTATTTATTTGTTAATTTTATTATTATATTGCTTTTATAGTATTTATTAATAGATTGAATTAGCTTTTATTTTTGTTTTTTATTGTTATTGTTATTATTGTTATTTTATTTTAGGTTTTGTTATGTGCTTTTGTCAGGTTTTTTTTCTATTTAGCTTTCATTTATTTTTATTTCATTTAGTTCTAATAATGTTAGTACTTCAACTTCATGTTTCAGATAGTTGCCAAGGCAGCATTTCTCATTTTTGTTTAAGACATTTAGGTTTACGTTTTTTTATTCATGTAATATTTATATTTTATTTCATTTCAGATTTATTTCAATGACCAAAACTGATTTTTAACAGTTTTAGATTTGTTAATAAATAATAACAACACTGGAAGGGAATCGAGCTCTGGTTCAGACCAAACAATGTAAAACAAGTGTGAAAACAGCCTTCATGTCGCAGGACTCATGTTCATCCATTTTCACTCACCTCTGTCTGTCTGTCGATGGCTCTTTTCTGTCTTCAGATGAAGCCCTGATGTCTGTTTCTCTCCTTCAGGATGATATGCACAGAGTTATCGATCAACAACTGATGGATAAACACCAGGAGGAGTGGAAAGATCCTCCGTACTCCTTCAGCGGGTCGCGAGGAGGAGCTCCATCCAGACGAGCGCATCGCCTCTCGGACAGAGACAAGCGCCTCTTTTCATTCTTCAAGAAGAACTGAGATTATCTGAAGACATGGAGGAAGAGAGTGTGAGAACAGACGTGAGAGAAGGGTACAACAATCGACAGAAAGAAAGTCAAAATCACGAGATCAGTGGTTCTCAACTGGTTTTGCTAATCAAAAAACAGCATTATTTATTGTACAAAATTAACAAAAATATCTTTAAAATCAAACACTGAAATGCATTAATTGGTTACATTGATGCACTCACAAAAATATTTAGATCTAAATTTAGATTTATGTGTTTGAATTGCACATAAAATGTCCATCCATTTGGATTACACAGTATTAACATAAAAAACTTAATGTGATGCAAATTTGTCAGTCAAACGTAAATGAAACAGATCAGATTTCAGTAATAGTACTAATGAACTGAATGTATTTTAAATACACAATAACCAGTTTTATATATGTCTCATTAATAAATCTAATTTGCTTCAAAAAAATTAGTACAATTTAACTAATTAAATCTTTTCTTGTTCCACAGCTAGCCATATTTTAACTATTTTCATTCATTTTAACTGAATTGTTTTCACAATTAACAGATCTGTGCTGATTTTAAGCAATTTGAATAAACACATTTTAAAAATTATTATTTAAATAAAATCAAATAGATTCACTTTTTTTTTAATCTGATCTTTCATTTTCATCTTTCTCTGTTTCCTTTATGTAAGACTGACAAATATGCATTAAATCAAGTTCATTAGTTTGTTTTTGTTAAAACTCCAAATGGAGTAAATCCATTTAAATATATAAACCTGGTTACTGTGTTTTAAAAACACATTCAGTTTATTAATACTATTACAGAAATCTTACCTGTTTCTTATCGGTTTCATTTGTGTTTGACTGACAAATATGCATTGCATTTATTACATTATTGCATTAAGGTTATTACTTTATGTTAAAACTGTGTAATCCAAACAGATTGAAATTTTATGCAATTAATGCAAATACATAAATCTTAGGCATAAATATTTTGGTAACACTAAGTCTTTATATATAATGCATTATTAAAGTAGTTTGAATGCATTAATTATGCCTTGCAATGCACCTTATAATGCATTGCATGATCTCATGAATAATTGTAACCCCAGTTATAATACATTATCATACTTCTCTATTCATTGTTACACCTTCAGAAAGTAAAATGCATTCAAATACGACAAACCTTCAAATATCACAATGCATTTTAACTTTGCTTGCAATTATTTTTGAAAAGATAGAATGTATTACAACGTACATTATGAATACCTTTATAATGCATTATACATAAAGGTTACAATTAAAAAAAGTGTTACCTTTTTTTTTTTTAAATAATGCATCAATGGTTTTATGCTCTCAGCACCCAATAATTGACTGTAAAACCACTTATTTTTTGGGTCACGAGCCACTGGTTGAGAACCACGGCGCTGACAAACCGAGTTCTCTGATGGCTTTGAGCCATTTTGCACTTTATCTGTACCCACAATCCACCCTCAGAAAGCTTTAGGAGTGGAACACAAATCTTGAGACACGGTCATCGTCCGATAGGGTGAAGCCCTGTGTCAGGGTCTGTTCAACAGGGTTCCCAGAATACTCCAGTCCTATCAGAAGTCCGTTTCCCCTGCGAGTGCCTCAAAAAGCTTCTCCTCACCTCACTGCCAGAGATTCACGGAGGCACATCCGCTCACCGACCAATCACGGCATTCGCTAGAGACTCAACTCAGGATGAACTGGACTTCAGACGGTTCAGGACAAAGGTTTCAGCATCACGATGTAGTTTAAGGCCCAGGCAGAATCTGTGGACGTCTTTTGCATTTTATGTGTGCTGATTTATGAGAGTAATATGAGAGTACTGCAGTATTATTGAAAATATGAAGGGTGTAGCATGACGTGAATGTCACAAATCGGCCTAAATTTTCGGACACAGATTGGGTGTGGGCCTGATTATAGATAATGTTTGAACGCTGCAACATTAAAATCAAAAACAGCTACAGACGTTCTGTTCTTTGGTTCATTCATAGAGGTATTTTAGATTAAAAAACAACTTTTTAACAACCACATGAATATTATATAAAATTAACTTTCAGCAGCTGCTTAGAATAAAAAACTTATAAAAGCACGCAATTATATACAAATAATAATGCAACAAGAAATTGTTAGCATAAATGCGTTGTGGCTGGTTTATCAAATGTACCTGCTTGTTTTTTAGCACATTTCTGGAGAAAATGTCCTCAGGACTGCTTGATAACAAACTTCAGGCCGTGTGCGTCACAGTCTGACGCCAGTGAACCAAAGAGCAGAAGTGTTGAGTTGGAACTTGTAGACTGCGTCTGAAAAACTATCCACACATACAAGCAGTATAAATCAGAGAGAAACACCAAACTGAAGACACCATGATTAGATGATACTCACCGTTAGAAAATCTCAGTCCTCAGAGATGCACTGAAACTGCGGCTGTGTTCAGAATGAAATACTAGTGTACTGCCTACTGCACAGTATACATACACACTGTTTTTTAAAAGACAAATAATGTGCCACTGTATGCAGAATGTAACAATATTTCAAACAGCAGAATGTTACATACACTCTAAAAAATGCTGGGTTAAATATAACCCAGCGCTGGGTTAAAAAGGGACAAACCCAGCTATTGGGTTGTTTTGAACCCAACCGCAGGGTCAAAACAACCCAACTACTGGGTCATAACAACCCAATAGCTGGGTCAAAACAACCCAACCGCTGGGTCAAAACAACCCAACCGCTCGATCAAAACAACCAAATAGCTGGGTCAAAACAACCCAATAGCCCAATACCCAACCGCTCGGTCAAAACAACCCAACCGCTGGGTCAAAACAACCCAATAGCTGGGTTTGTCCCTTTTTAACCCAGCATTTTTTAGAGTGTAGTAGCCACCAAAAATTCCAAAAATTTAAATTGAACATTTTTAAAATTAATAAAAAAAAAAATGGTCAAACATCTGTCACTACGCTGATAAAAGTCTGTAAAAATAGGGCACTGTGTTAATAGGCCAGAATTTTCCCTATTGATTTACCCATATCTTGAATTATACATTGCATTGTGTTGTACTTCAGGGTTAAAGAAAATGTCTGTGAACTTAACAGATAACGTCCTGGCAGAACATCACCAGTACCTTTTCCCACTTTTTTACAGATTTTTTTTCTTACAGTGTAGAAATGTTAAAAATCATAGTGGATATTACTTCTGTTTCATTTGTCGCGCAGTAAATGGAAGGTCAAGTCAAGTGCACTGTAGGGTAACGTATTCAATACAGAGAATGCTGTATATCTTTGGCAACTGAAATTGCTCTTCTGAGTATTTTTGCATACAAAAAATACCTCAGGCATATGACTACAATCTCAGAAAAAAAGGTACAAAATTGTTACTGGGGCACTACAGTAAGAGACAAAAGCTAAAAGGTACATCGAAAGGTAAAGGTACATCTTTGTACCTTTATTTACCCCTAAATAGTACCTTTTGAAAGGGTACCCCAAGTGACAGTTATTTACCTTATTTCTGAGAGTGTAGTATGCTAGTATGTTATTCTGAACACAGCCCAGGTCATTTCTAGGGTGTACTTCCTCCAGCCTATGAGAATGAAGGGAGCACTTGTGTCCTGATCGTGAGCTGTAATCGGGTGTGTTCGTCTCGTGTTCGGTGTGTGTGTGTTTTTTTTTTGGGTTCAATCAGTGAAAGTCGGGCAGATTTTGAGCGAAGCTATGCAGCTGTCTTCTTTCTCGCAGAGGTGTTTTTTGGCTCGGAGAAACCCAAAGAGTGATTTTTTTTTTATACGTACAAAGACACAAACAGGTTTGGAATAAAAAAAGGAATCAATATATTTGTAAATGTATAACTTTTGAATGATAAATCAACTTTTTTAGAACAAGCTCCATGTAAGCGCTTGTCTGTCGTGTGGTCTGGTTTGTAAAGTGTTTCTGGAGGATTCGCTAGAATCGCTGTCTGATTAGAACTGAATGTAAACCATCTGAAAACTCTCAATCCAGACCCAATACGTCTGTAGGAGAGGTACTACAGGTCAATGAGGATAAAAGTTTCATTTTAACAAAGTCATATACAGTGTTTGGTAAGTTACCCTAAAAAGTAATTCATTACTAGTTACAAATGACATCTAAGCAGTGTAATTAGATTACTGTACTAATTACTCTCTCTAAAAAGTATTGCATTACTCATTACTTTCTAAATCCCATGTCAGCCTCGTCCAGCTGAACAATACAAGGATAGACACGAAACTGCTCCTTTAATTCTTTCAAATAAATAATACAAAACTGCATAAATTATGCTTGAACTGACCAAAGAATTTAAAGGGAGAAGGTTACATTAAAAACATACATTTTAACATTAGAAGTTAAATTTTGATGTTAAATCCACTATTGTTTTATAATATAGAATTGTTCTAGAGTCTTAATGCAATTACATCAGAAGTAACTGTAATTACTGGAAAATTACGAGTAATCCCTTACTTGACTTTTTTTCAAGGGACAAGTAATTAAACTACAGTAATTAATTACTTAGTAATGCATTACACCCAACACTGGTCATATGAATATTCACCATAGTGACCATTTTTAGTATGCAAATACAGAAATTGCACAAATATGCATAATTCAATAGATGTGACTTAAATTGCACATAAAACAACTTTCAATTTTCAGAATATTTTAACAAAATTCATGCATAAAATGTACATTTGTGCATGTAAATATTCTCGTCCCCTTTTAAAAGCTTGTTAAAATGGCTTTAAAAAAATCCTCTGACATTTAAATATCACTGAAGCAAAATCTCAATGACATTTTACTCCAAATTACATTAAATGCCACTTTAGAAAATTGCATTTGAAAGCTCCAGAACTGATGCTGATGTATATGACAAAGGTGATTTAATAAGGATCAGATGGTTATAATTATTTTGGATGTTTTCATTAATGCCTGTAGTGCTTCTCCTGTCTGACGGCGGATGAATGAAACACGCTGTTATATTAGCAGTGGTTTAAATCTTCCAGACAGCAGCCGCGTTTATAGCATTAGTCATCTCTCTTCTGTTGTTCTGTATGTAAAAAACATTTCAATGTCATTTCTTTAGATTCTTTTCTTGCGTTTTACACACT